AATTTTGAAAATTAACTACTACACCACAATATAAAAGAGAGTAAAGACACTACATTAAATGGTCCCAGACAGCTATACATTTTGCATCCTTATGTCATAATTATTTTCTGTTTTTCTGGTTGTTAAACTGTCCAATCTTCTCTTCTTCAAGCTCCTGCTGACTTCTCTTGTAATATGTTGTTTGGAATTGGAAAACCAAGTAGCCAAACTGATTAAATGATATCTCTCATAAACATAGGTGGTCTCTGAGTGATGGCTGATGGACCTGCCTTTTGTCGAAATGTAAGACTGAATTCCTGAGCATTGACAAGGCTGTTTAGAGACCCTTTGGTTCTCAGCTGGATTCTGGAAACTTTGTCTCCAAACTCTCAGCAAGTGGTATAACATACTAATGTCTTCATGTTATAAATCAGTAAGGAATCAGCATATTGTAATTGGGCCAGGTGGGTTTGAATCCTCTTTAAATCCTGTTTCTGCTGCTTGCTAGCTTGAACAAGCCACATAGCACTTATGAGCTTCTTATTAGTCATCTGCAGGGCAGTCATAATAATGGTGATCAGCATCAAGGGTCTTGTAAAGTATACATCAAATACCCCATGTGAGATCCTTAGTGCGTACTAAGGGCTTAACACTTGTTAGTCACTCAAATGACTGTGGGGAGATGGACCATTGTTACATGAGGCCAAGATCAGCTCCGCCACATATCTTGAAGAAAGCAACTGCGTGTAGCACCTGGGGTGGAATAGACTGGTTCAGAGTTTATCTTTGCCAAACCAAACTGCATATGCAAAGCCATACGTGAAAGTCATCTTTTTTTCAGTTTTAACTATCTTTATTGTTAGAATGCTTATAATGGAAATCCCTGTCCATTCTTTAGATCATTGCTCTAGTGACGACCAGGTGGCCAGGAGCCCAGAACCAACCTCTTGTCACTGCTCCCCACCCCCACCCAAGCGATTGCCCTTTCCAAAAGATAATTTCAGTGAGGCAGAGCCTGTCAGAGGCCAGGGAGAATAATTTAATTAAATCCAGTAGGCTGGGACAGGCAGGACAGAATTAAGACTATAAACTGGAATGGTACTGGTTTAAAAAGCAGTATTGGCTTTTTGGTTGATGGAACCAATTACTTGGATTCTATTTTGGAATATTCTTCCAGGATGCTAAAGCAGCCTGAGCTGGTGACTCTAGTCCCTGGAGAGTGTAACTTCAGGAGCAGTACTTAAGCCATTCAGAGACTCAGAACCTTGTCCTCTTACCTGGATTTATGATTATACCCTAGCCTGCCCCAGGCTCTCTTTCCTAGCCTCTGAAAGTTGTTTATTCTCTTTTACCTCAGAGCAGAGGTCAGTAAACTACAGCCTATTGGGCTACATCTGTTTTCTATGTCCAGCAAGGTAGCAGTGGCCATTACATTTTGAAACAGTTGAGAAAAATCAAAAGACGAACAATATTTCATAATATGCGAAAAGTATTTAAAATTCAAATATTTATGCCGATAAATAATGTTTATTGGAACACAGCCATGTTCATTCATTTATGTATTGTCTGTGAGTGCTGTCTCATGGCAGAGTTGAGTAGTTGTGAAAGAGATGACCCTCAGGCAAAGCCTAAAATATTAATTATCTGGACATTCACAGAAATGTTGCCGACTCCTGTAACAAGAGGATTGCCTGAGTCTGTCACTTTCTCCCAGCAGCATCTGTCTGCTTACCCTCTTTCAGTAAATAGGACCTTTTGTAGCAATGGTAACAACTATACATTTATATGCTTTAAGATAGTACATCTAATGAAGGATATTTAAATATGGTACGATATTAATTGCTGGGTATTGAATCCCCTCATTTCAAATACCAGCACAGAGTTTAATCAAGGGCAAATGCCCAGGAAGCCTTCAGAAATAAAGTCCTCATGGACATTGCCCCTGACTATCACAACTCTGAAAGGCGCATTGTGGATTGATTTAGTCTCCACTCCCTTAGGAATGCTTAGTAATATACCTGGGGTAATATTTGTTATGGCTCAAGTCATTTTCTCTCCTTTATCCTGGGGAGAGGGAATGGCAGTGAGAAGGAACGCTCTACTCCCACACTGTGACACTGCCGGGAAAGGGGGAAAAACTATAATCATTCACCTCTTTAGTATGAGGCAGGAGTGAAGGGATAACTAAGAAACAGATTTATCAAGTGCTCCCCGGTGCAGAGTGCCCCATGCTTAATTTAGCTAAATACACATGTACATAAGAGGCAAACCATTATTCTGGAGGACCTGAGCCTGAAATCAGAACATGAAGGTCAGCTTGGCATGTATTTCTTTCTTTCTTTTTTTTTTTTTAAGATTTTTTTTTTTTTTTTTAATTTATTTGACAGAGAGAGACACAGCGAGAGAGGGAACACAAGCAGGGGGAGTGGGAGAGGGAGAAGCAGGCTTCCTGCCGAACAGGGAGCCTGATGTGGGGCTCGATCCCAGGACCCTGGGACCATGACCTGAGCTGAAGGCAGACGCTTAACGGCTGAGCCACCCAGGAGCCCATTGGCATATATTTCTGACTACAGAATGAAGGCCTCAGGCTGCTGTTGGCTCAGTCCCTCTCTTCCCCATCTCCACTTCCATGTTCTGTGGGTTCTGGAACGCTATAGGGGGCCCTCAGGGCATCATGCTTGCCTCCAAATGTTTGTTCATTTTGAACCTTTACCAGGAGTATCCTATCTGCTATATCCCTCTTAGACAAATTCTGTGCAAGACTCAAAAACTGAGAAATATTCCCACTATTTAAAAAATATGTCAGCTTTGAGTCTTCCAAACTCTGAATTTTTTTATTAGCATTTTTTTTAAAGAGCCTCCACACCCAGTGCAGTGCCTAACTCGGGGCTTGAATTCACCACTGTGAGATCGAGACCTGGGCTGAGATCAAGAGTTGGACACTTAACAGACTGAGCCATCCAGGCACTCCTTATTAGCATTTTAATTTTTGAGTATAGTCTCCTTATATATCCGGTTTATATTTTATTTAAATATTTTATTTGTGTTAATCCTAATTGTTTAATTAAATGTAAACTCTTGAGGTCAATTACAGGTTGCATCTCTGTTTCTAATTAAAAATCGTGGTATTCTACCATTTATAGTTACATACACACAGAGTATATCTTCATTATTCACAGATTTTGTATTTGTGAATTCACTTATTTTCTAAAATTTATTGATAATTCCAAACTCAATACTCATGATGTTTTCATGATCATTTGTTCACATTTACAGAGTCTACAAAAAATTTGAGGCACCCAATGTGCATGTTCTGCTCTTGTACTGTTAACAAGTCTTCTTTTCAAGGTCCAATTAGTGCTATGTTTTTGGCTTTTTTGATGTTTTTTGTTGGTGATTTCGCTGTTTAAAATGCCCTCAAGCATAGTGCGGAAGTGCTGTCTAGCATTGCCAAGTGCGAGAAGGCATGATGTGCCTTACAGAGAATGCGTATTAGATAAGCTTCATTCAGACATTAGCTCTAGTGTTGTTGAGTGTGAGCTCAGTGTTAACGAATAACAATATATATTAAGTAAGATGTTTTTAAATGAAAACACACACATAAAATAAGGCTGTTTATCGGTCAGCTGATGAAAACCTGTATTTCCTCCAGGAGTGATTGTTTACTATTCACTACCTCAGTGTCCATAGTGAGTTTATAGAACATAGTTTATAGCGTTTATAGAATGTTGTTCTATAAGCATAGAGTTTATAGAACATTCTGAATAACAGAATTGGTATGTGTGTGTGTCTGTGTTTGTTCTCAAGAAAGCTGGGATTAGTGATGGCTTTTTGGGCATTTGTCTACACATGCTATGGACCCATGAGCTTGCAATAACTGTCTTCAGTTGCTCATTTTCTGCTGCTGACATTGGGTTAATAGCTAGACAAACAATTGAGATCAAAAGTAGTATGCTATTTTGGATATTGTGAAATGACTTGACTCTACCTATCTGTGGTCAAACCATAGTTTTTTCTCCATTTTAACATGAATCGACAGCCTGCTTTTACCTAATATCAGTATCTATAGTGAAAGGAAAAACAGGCTTTAACTCAGAGATGACAAATATGTGGCCCACTGGCCACCTGTCCCTTCTCCTTGTTCATGGTTCATGTTACTAAGGGCATGTGATACTCTTGCTACACCCTGATGTGATTATAGCATCATTCTCAGCTCGGTGCTGTAGGAGGCCACTAATACTGGGTTGGAGTGAAGATACTGATTGAAACTGTTCCTCATAACAGTGAGCGTAATATGTTCTCGTCTGCTTTGATAGACTCCAAATTGTATGCACAGTGTGGATTTTGTGATACCCAATAAAAAGCTTCTAGGAAACAGTCCTGAATGGGCTGTATATTACCAAGTCATCATATGTAATGCAGGATTCTAGCATAAACTTGTACTGGCTCCTACTGTGGTTAGGCAAGCTTCACAGTGATCGCAGGGAATGTGTTCACAATAACCAGTAACCCCAGTCAACGTTTCCAAGAAAGGAAGTTCATCCTGTTGCTCTTCACTGTAAAGCAGAGTGAAATTAGATCAGAACAAAAACTTAATTATCATGCCCTATTTGTTCTCTCTCATTTCTCTCCCCTAAACCTGATTTCCATAATTGCTAAATGGTATCTCATTTATAAGGAAGTTCAAAATGCAAACATTAATGCTTTTCTTTTAATATATTATAAACTCTAATTTTGAATTTACTTAAATTTTCTATAAAATCTGGTGGATAATAATGGAAGTTATAAGGATATTCTGAATGAAGAGGTCAATGAGGGGTGTTTTGAATAAGTGAAATGCATAGAGCAGCTTTTGATAGGATATGTTTATTTTTCCAGTTTAAAAAAATATGGCTTTCCCACAATCAGGAAAGAGTTTTCCTTTCTCCACTCTTGCCTTTAACAAGTTGTGTTGAATCTCCATTCCCCATATGCTGGTTATATCTTAGGCAGGTGACATAACTTTTCTGATATTAGGAACACTATCCTTTTCAGATTTAAGTAGTCCAGTTCTATCTAAAAAAGAAAAAAAAAAAATGAAATTCTGTCCTCCATGCAGTTGAAAGCTCTGCCTCTCCCCAGGAGGAGCCTGAGTGAGGGCTTCCAGACCAGTGTTGGAGCAGGGACACGACTTCCGTTCTTAAAGTTTTTTCTTTATGTCAACTCCTCCCCTATTTGCTCTTCTGCTTCAGGCTCCTCTGGCTGGAGAGGAGAAGACAAAATATTGCTTTCCTGGCTCTGCTTATAAATCTTGACTGTTCATTTCATGGTCTCTGCCAGGCAGCTCTCTCTCATGGGGGGTTTTTGTGGGTTCTTAAGGAGCACTCTCCACTCTCAGTCTCTTGCATCCATGCTGCAGACCCCTATCTTGGAACATATAGATATTCCTCAGCTCCTGTCCAGGGATTTCCTCTGGAGTCCTCTCATGCCAGCAAGAAACCCTCAAGGACAGGATCCTTTCATAAAGGACCTATCCCAGTTCTCTTTGGCAGTGTCTACTTGGCTTTCAGGGAAATACATATGCTTGTTCTACCAAACTCTGGAAATGCATATCATTCACACAGCTTTTTTCTCTCCTTGTTTTCAGGCAAGAATTATACACTGGTCTTCATGTTTCCCATATTCCACGGGACATATGCCAAATTTTCCAAAGGCCTCTTTCATTGCATATGTTCATCGTCCTATGGGGATGTCTTAGTCCGTTCAGCCTGCTATAACAAAACACCATGAATTAGTGGCTTATAAGCAACAGGTATTTATGTTTTATAGTTCTGGAGACAAGGAGGTCCAACATAAGGGTGCTGGCAGATCAGGCATCTCGTTCATAAATAGCTGTCTTCTTGCTGTGTCCTCATATGGCAGAAAGGGCAAGGAAGCTCTCTGGGGTCTCTTATATAGGGGCACTAATCCTAATCATAAGAGCTCCACTATTGTGATCTAATCACTTCCCAATTGTTCTACCTCCTAATACCATCACACTGGGGGTTAGGATTTCAACATATGAATTTGGGGGGACATAAACATTCAGTCTATAGTAGGTGGCATCCAACTCAGAGTTCCAAAGCTCCAAAAATATTAAGTCTGGAAGTCAATATCCCTTCCTTGTGATTGACTCTCAGTTTCTATTTCAAAGGGTAGCTTGTTGCCCCTCTCCCTTAGCTTAGAATTGGAGAGAAGACATATCCTCCACCCTTCTGCTTGTATGAAGGGAAGAAAAATGCCACAGTCCATTTTACTATTAATTCCCTTCTATTATCCTTTCCTCTCTGATCAATCTTTCTTGAATTTCTTATCTTTCTTTATGTAGTGTAGAGGTGGACCATAGGCTAAGAGTTGCTGAGGTGATTTTGTCCACCTCTTAGAATATCTGTGGGAAACTGTGTTTGCATGTGTGATCCATTGCCCTCAGCTCTGGGGCCTCATTAGAAAACCAGAAACTTAACCTAACATATACAATTGTTATAGACTGAAGAATTTGTTCCCCTCAAATTCGTATGTTGATACCCCTGTCCTCATGAAGTTATTAGGAAGTGGGGCCTTTGGGAGATAATTAGGATTAGATGGGGTGATGAGGATGGAAACCTCATAAATGGTACTGGTGTCCTTGTAAGTGCCAACACAGAATGTGCTTCCTCTTTTGGCTCTCCACAATGTAAAGATACAAAGTCAACAGTCTACAACATGGAAAAGTGTTCTCACAAGAACCAACCATGCCCACAACCCAATCTTGGACTTCCAGCTCCCAAACTGTGAGAAATGAATTTCTGTTGTTTATAAGCTCCCCAGTCTATGGTATTTTTGCTAAAGCAGCCTGAACTAAGACAATGGTGTAAAGAAAACTAAGTCCTCTACAATTCAGGCTGGTTTTACATTATTTTTCATAGACTCCCAGAAGAGATAAGGATTATAGATATCAGTTAGTTCATCACATGATGGTTAAATTTACTCCACAACATCCCTGTCATTCAGTCTCAACACCTCCATTCATGGTGATGACACATTGTATTTGGGAACAGCTCTAGCTATAAGTCTGTCTGTGTATTAAGCCAAATTTGCTTGCTTTGCTGTAATTTCTTCCTAAGATTCTTCTTTGTTCTTTGAAGCTAAAGAGGACAAGCTGTTCTCTCTCTCTCTTTTTTTTTACATGAAAATCTTTAAATATCTAAGGAGAATGCAGATGTTTTTCTTCTTTTCTTCCTTGAAGACTCAGTACTTCCACTGACTCTAATTGTTCCATACAGAGAAAGTACCCTGTCAATAGAGAGGTTTCCTTTGGACACAGTTCATTTGCAGGGAGTTGGACTTACACCAAGTAGATTGGGAGAATTTTCTCCCTTATTTTGGGATACTCTGTTTCTAAATTCCACCCCTCCCAACCCTGAGTGTCTTTTTCCTGGTGGAGTCCTATTCATTCTTTAGAATCTGGACATCTCCTCTCTGCCTACCTCTGTTCTTAAATATCACTTTATATGTACACCTTTATTTTGGCACATATGACACTGAACAGCGATTTTATCTATTCAGTCATTCATTCATTATTTATTTTATAGCCATTTTCCCTACTAAATGCTAAGCTCTTTGAGATAAGAACAATGTGTTGTTATTCATTCCTGGATTCCCCTTAGGTCTGGCACAAACTAGAGACTTGATAAACGATGTTGAGTGAATGCATAAGTGACTGCAGACTAAGACTTCAGTCTTTTTAGCAGTTGTATCGTATGGTAGAATCATACTGATCATGTTGCCAACTTACATTTCTGAGACTTCTTCACTTTTGCTCTGCTAAACCAGACTTTCTCCATCACAGCTACATCTACACGCATACATTTTAACCCTATGTATACATTGCAAAATTAAGATCTGGAAAGTATATATATATTTTAAAGATTTTATTTCTTTATTCATTCAAGAGAGAGTGAAAGAGCACCAGCGGGGGTTGGGGGGAAAGGCAGAGGAAGAGGCAGAGGCAGACTCCATGCTGAGCAAGGAGCTGGATGTGGACCCTAGGATCATGACCTGAGCCGAAGGCAGAAGCTTAACGGACTAAGCCAACCAGGCACCCCTGAAAAGTATATTTCAATTTAAAATATTTCCATATTATTTTAAACTATATATTAATCCAGAGTAGACTTTATATTAACTCACAGTACAACAGGTACTTGAAAACAATGAAACTTTATATCTTTTAACCTGTCCTTCATTCTTTCAGATTACCCTTCTCCAGGGAGGTTTTATTAGCTGTTTATGTAAAACTTCCTGATGTAATAAGCTATCAGGTACCTGAGAATCAACAAGGAGAACAAAGTAAAGTAGATTTTGGGGGTTTGCTTTTGTTCTTTTTTGATAGCACAGATTACTGTGGGGGAAGAAAGGGCTTTCTTGCTCCTATTCCCAAATTCTATGTTTTGGACAATGTGATCCGTTTGTTGTTTTCATATCTGCAGCATGTCCACTAGGTTCCTTTAGGTGTTTCTGTGTCTTTTCCTCCCTGAAGACCAGATCAACTTGCTCATTTTGAAAGCAATCATTTGGCAAAAGATACCAAAACAACATCTGAGCAACCAAAGTATGTTCTCAAGCAGACTTGAGTAGAATAGCGGACAGATAAAATAGAAACTCAGTCCTCATCTGGAATTGTTGCTTCCTTTGAACTGTCCTTTACTTCCCCTTAACTTTTCATGTGGTTGTGTTTAAAAATAAAGCAAATAAAAATAATCCTGATTAATTCCCTTTGTAAATTCTCTTGCACATTTACTAGGTTCATAGATTTATTATAGCACATCATATTGTAAAGTGTATGGTGTGGGAACTATGGTTGGAAAAAAAAAAAGAAAAACACTTATAATTCTGTTTTAACCATTTATCACAAAATTAGTATTTTTCCACTAACCATGTCATTATTTAGTGTATGCTCAAATGTGCTTTATTTCTCTTCTGAATCCATTTCCTACCCCCACCCTCTGCCCCAGGGAAGAAATGCTTGTAGTTACAAATGGATCTCCATGGAAAAATCAGGTCAGGTTATATTAAACTTATTGTATTTGGCTATTTGAAATTTGTCATTATAAGTGCCTGAGAACACAAGGAAGGATGAAAACAGAATGCAAGGAATCAGGTAAAGATTAGCAGACTACCTTGGAATGAGTCTGGAACATCTTTGTGGCAAACTATTGCTTTCACATTTTTAGAGCACTTATCTAAAAATCCTTTTCACAACCAAAGGCAATTTTTCCAACCCCTTGATATTTATATTCACTAGAAACAGAAGTGTGTTCCAGTAATAGTCTGATTTCTATTTATATGTTATCAACATTTTAAGTAGTTTTCCTCTTTCTTCATCCCTGTAAACTCCCTAAATTCAAATTTTGCTTTCTCTCCAACATTTAGCACATCATTGGTGCTCAATAAATGTTTAACAGTTGGGATACTTATGTTTAACAGCTGCAGCATTGACTCCAAGGACAGCTGCCTTTTAATGGTGTGTGAAGTGATTTATATGTAAGCGGCTAAAACTCATAACTAAAGCACTTAGCACTTTAGGCTCCTCTGGGACTAAAGGTGATAGATTAAGGTAAAAGGATATTATTATTTAATTCTGAAAGAGGTAAATTACTCTGGCAAAATGTTATTTGATGTTGCTGGCAAACCACTGTGGTCTAACACTAGGCTGCCATCAGGAAACATGGCCCCGCGGTTGGAACTGTGGTATAGGAGGCAGGAGTCCTGGGTACTATTTCTGGTTAATTCACTGACTTCCTGGGTGACCTTGGGCATCTCACTTAACCTCCCCATGCCTCAGTCTCCCTTCTTAGGAACTGAGAAGGGCAAAGCTTTCCAACATTCTGCCCTGAAGGGACATTTTAAGAATAAAACTTCAAAATGCTTCATTTGTCAATAGCGTTTTTGCAGTAATGGATGGTTTGTTTTTCTCCCAGCTGCATTGCTGGCTGTAGGAAGGCAGTGCATATTAATATGCCCTTAGCCAGAACACACAAGTGAGTGCTCAGAATGGCCATGGGCTCAGGAGTCTGTATTTTCGAACAGACACCCCTGCCCCCTATCTCTTGTCTCATGGCTTGATTTCACACCTGTCCATGCACAACTCTTGCCATTTTGCCTTCACTGTTTTTGTAGATTTTGAAGAAAAGAAATAAGCACTTATATCAACACATGGTAGTAAAAACAGTTTGGATGGTGAATCAACTCTGGCAATGACCAGAGAAGAGCCTGTTCATGTGTTTGGGAAAAATGACAAACAAAACCCCAAACGGAAGCCTTCTGCAGGTTCTTGAGTTGAAGAAAGAGTAGAGGACGAGGGTCCTTAGCTCAGTCTATCAGCCCCGAGAGCCTGCTGAATATGTCATGTAATTGGAGCAGGGAGCTTTTCAGATTTTGTAGGACCGTGTTTTGAACTTTAAACACTTTTCTTCCGTCTGAATTCCTGGAATGACTACTTAGGCTGCTGTTCTTGGCAACACCTAGGCAGGCATGTAACAATTCATCCACACCACCTGTCACATGTAAGTTCTTTCAGAAGTTGGTAGGTATGAGGTAGGCAGTATACGGAGGAAGAAAAGAGAATAAGAGAATATCACCATATAAAATCTACTCAGTTTTTGTAAGTAATAGACTAAAATGTTTCACTAGAAATTTTTCCTGATGATTCTTTATCACTGATGAAAATATATTTGGCTTTTCTTGGGAGTATGGAGACTGTCACTGACTCTGATCCTCATTTTAACTATCTTTGGAAAGACAATAATTAGCATACACCTAAATAGTGCAATGGCTCCTGTATGGGGAAATTGAAGTGACCTTGAAGGATACTGGGAAATACAGTGATCTTAAAGGTAAAGAAAAAAGATTATATGGGTAACATAAATATGCTCAGCTATTTTTTTGAGTTTATGAGTTATGGCTACTGGTTACCATCATATTTTATTTTTTTAACTGATGATAGTTATAAACTACACTATGATTTATTGCTATTTTGTGATTTTTTTTTTAAAAAGTATCTTATTTCAGGGGTGCTTTATCTAGTATGAGAATATATGCTAAGTTTATAAAACTCTCACATATGTGGACTGAAAGGCAAAGAATTGGTTATTCTCTTATTTACAGCTTTAATCAAGAAGTTTATCAGGCAATGAAAACAACTTTTAACCATAAAAGCTACTTTTAATACTAAAATTCCCACAGGAAAAAATAAAATTGATAATGTGAATCTAAGACTTTGATTACAGCATAGTAGTTTCTAAAATTCTATTTCTCCCCATTATAATCATTACTTTTTATTTTTATTTTTTAATTTTTTTATATAATCATTACTTTTTAAAAAATTTTTTTAATTTATTTGAGAGAGAGAGAATGAGAGAGAGAGAGAGCATGGGGGGGGGAGGGTCAGAGGGAGAAGCAGACTCCTCGCTGAGCAAGGAGCCCGATGCGGGACTCGATCCTGGGACTCCAGGATCATGACCTGAGCCAAAGGCAGTCGCTTAACCAACTGAGCCACCCGGGCGCCCATAATCATTACTTTTATAAGGATTTTGGTTAATCTGAGGTGTCTTTGGAATGTAACTTTCAGATTTTGGTAGAAGAGGCAATAGATACTAAAAGCCAACAAATCCTTATCTGAAAAAATATGTGTATAATTCTTTTTTTTTGTATATATAATTCTTAATACAAGTAGTAAGAAACAAAGATTTTATGACAAATAAGATTTTATGACAAATAAAAAGCTATGTAAGGAGAGAGTTGCTAATGATTCTTAAGATTTTTTTTTTTTTTTTTTTGAGGGAGCGAGCAGGGTAAGGGGAAGAGGAAGAGGGAGAGAGAATCTCAAGCAGACTCCCACTGAGCACAGAGCCCACATGGGGCTTAATCTCACAACCCCAAAATCATGACCTAAGCTGAAATCAAGAGTCAGATGCTTTAACTGGCTGAGCCACCCAGGTGCCACAATTGTTAAGAAATTTTAATGTTGATTTCATTATGCTGATTATGAAGGTACTTTGAGGAAACAACACATCAGTTAATGTTGATGTTAACCCATGAAAGAGGTGTGAAAGAGAGCAATGGTTAAAAAATACAAAATTTGAAAAAGGAAATAAAAGCTTTGAATTTCACAAAATTAAGGCATTGAGCCAGATTTATCCAATATACAGTCTACCTCAAATCTTTGTGACACAGTCTACCTCAAATCTTTGTGACTCAGTGAAATCAAACAGAGCTGAATTATTTGATTAGATTGACGTATGCAGGTAAAAACGACATAATTACTGACTGCCAGGTTTTATCAACACTATGAGGTATATGTTACCACAAAGAAAGGTTAAGTAACTTGTCTGAGATCACACAGCCAGTAAGTGATAGAACTGAGACAGCACAAACTGACTTCACAATCTGTATTCCCAACCACTACACTGTATTCCCACTCCAGGAGTTTTGTGAATTCTGCAGAAATGGTGGGATTAAAGTGTCAAGATGCTAGCTGGATTTAGGCATGCCACAGTGGTCTCCATATTAGCAAAATTACCTTTGGGAGATACGGACTCAGCTATTTTTCCCTATCCACAATACACGTAAAGCCAAATACACACACAGATACACACATTATCAGTTTGTAAGGTAATTCTCCAATGTAATAATACTATCTCAGAATTGTAAAGATCTACAAGTAATTTTAAAAAGCCCACATTAATGTATTTATGTCAAGAACCCTGAGGGTCTGAGATAGTACCCTACTTATGAGCTAAGGGTTAGCCTACCACAGACTCATGATTGTTAGAAAGAGATGAGATTCCTGCGTTAGAGACAAAGGACTTGACAGGCAGCATAGGCTTCATGTTTGCATTGATTCCCTTCCCCACCACCAGACCCCAAGGGAGTCACTCAGAGACGGATCCAGGTAGATCCTCTGCATGCAGTGTGTTTGTGTCACAGCTGAGGAATCCCAATCTTTAAAGGGGCTGCAAGCAAACCTGCCCAACCTTTGCCTGGAGGGAGATCTCACTGTGTTTTATTATTGTTATTATACTGGGCAGCAAACAAATCTACCCTCTGCCCTGGAGGGTGACACTACATATATCTTCCGAGGCTGTTTGCCACTCTTGAAAAGAATGTCTTAAAAAGACATTTTGGAAAAAATATCTGGGATAAAAGTTATTAATAACTCTGCTGACAAGACATGCATATTCACATAGGGACCCACGGAGAACAGTCTCCCAACCATATATTGTTTCCTATAATCCATGCCGTCTCATTTGACACAAATTCTGTGAGATTTATAAGGTAAATCTTAAATCTTATATTTTCTATTTTATAGATTTTTCTAATTATAAAATGATTCTGTTGGCTAGATAAGACTAATATAGCTTCCATAACCTAAAAATAATTTAGTTGATGAAGTATGTTGGTGTTTGAAAAAAAATCCCAAATATACAAATTGATACTGAAAGAGAGTAATTCTTATAAAGTAAAGGATTAATATAAAAAGGATTCCCCCCCCGAATACTATTTTATATTCTTTGCTTATTTTTTATTAGCTATTTAACCAGGGGCAAAGGAGCTAAGTGTAAGGGTATGTATTGGTAATCACTGATTCATTGAAGGAGGAATAGAAATAAAGATAATACTCTTGCTAATCTACATTATCAATCAATAGAAAGAGAAATAGAAAATTGATCTGAATTGATACCCTATGGAGGACTACAGCTTTTATGTAATGGAACACCATTATATGCACAATACACTTAGCTGCCCAGTTTCCAAGGTGTATAACTTTTAAGTGCACTTGATTTTGAGGCCAAGGCATCCTCTAATAATTGGAAGAATTTAAACCCTAATGAATGTGTTCTACTCCAGGAATTTTAAAGTAATTTGCCTACTATTACTGGGCTCTTTAATTTAGACAAGGCAGGTTAGATTTCAGCCCACTTTGATGAACAAAATTAAGCCACAGAAAGTTGGTTATTTATCTGTAATTAATGAGTAAAGAAGAGAGATTAACGTGGTGTCATGTAGGGGGTGTGTGAGGGTTGGGGATAGGATGGCTCTCATTTTTTTGTCTCAGCTCCTACATGAAGTGATAAACAAAAAACAAAAAACAAACCACAAGGAAACCAGTGGAAGTCTCTGCCAGCTTGAAGTGAATTAAAGCAAGCAGCCAAAGGGCAGTGAATAGTGTTGATCATTTACTTAGAAGTACTCTTTGGGTTTGTGGCTATTTCAACACCAAATGAGATTATTGTTTCTCATTTTAGGAAGCCTTTCCATTATTACTGATGACCGACACAAGCAGAAAAATGGCCACGATTGTACAACATCCAAAATATATTTGCAGTAAATTCTGGAAGATTTGGCCTCATCCATCAATTGAATAGGTTGTCCTAAATACACAAGATCATTCAACTCACAGCATCTGTGTAGCAGTTGACAAGATATCATTGTTCAGTGGGACATTTAAACCTTGTCCTTCAGCAAAGTGAAATGAGAGAAATGTTCTCCTCAAAAGTCAAAATCTAAAAAGCAAAATTTGACTGTCAAATGGTCAAGTGTGTTAAAGGTGAAAAATAAAGCTGCTGAAACACTTAGGTCTTTTTTTAGACTCTTGTTTCCCTGGCACGTGGAATCTTTCTGAGACAGGGCTCATTTTCAGTCACTGTTTATAATTCTTTGCTCACCTACACATAAGCTCTGAACTAATAACATTAAGGTCATGTTAACAAATTTATACAGGTTTCTAATCACTGTGTGGTTGGTTATTAGTTTGGGGTATATTTTAATGACTAGATCTTTAAACCTTGTGTTGCTTTTTACCAGTTCCGAGCTCAGAGATATGTGTTACAGAATAAATGGGAATTTAGAATGAAAGATCAATATGAACTTAATTTAATTCAATGCTGAAAATATTACTTTTATTAATTATTCTTTTTCTAGGATTTAGCCAACCCACACCTATAATAATTGCAAAAAATGGTAGCAAAGATGATAAAAGTAATATATTTTGTCATTCAGGTCAGTCCTAATAGAAATGTATCAGCTAAAATTTTGGTTAAATATTGCCTTTACTTGGGGGTGAGGTAGCGTTGTCTAGATAAAATGTGAGATGAGTAGTTAAATTTAGATTTCAAATAAAAGATGATTTTCTTTTCAGCATAAATATTTATACTAAAATAATTAGTTTTTTGTCTAAAATTCAGATTAAACGAGCAAAATCTTTTTTTTCCCCTAAATCTGGCAACCCTAGGGTGAGGGGAAGGCAATGTTTGAAAATAGGTAGATTCTACTCAAATCTCAAGTAGAAAAGGTGAGATCACACTTGTTAAGGCAGCAAGGCAGCTCTGGTAAGTTTTTTCCTATCGTTCCCCTGTTTATCAAACAAACAAGTTACCAGGACCATTTGTCCTCATCACAATCCTGGCCCAGTTTTTAAAGTATTGTCTTTTTTTCCTAGCACTTTAAAAGTAAATACATCCCTCCGCTTGGAGATTTAGTTTTCCCCAAGTATCGTGCAGCCACGAGATGGCAGCAACAGCCCATCATACCCCACCCCCTCCCCGGCATCCCGGAGCCAATTTTCTGTACCTTGTCCTCTTTCTCGTAGCAGGTTTCAGCTTGTCACTTCTCCCTCTTTGTTTTCTATTTTTACTTTTATTCAAATGCCAGAAAAACCAGCTGGTTGAAGAAGTCATGTGGTGCTCCACACGTTTGTCACAGGGGGTGCTGTAACTGAAAAGCTTAACTGATTTTCTAGGCTGTCGGGCTGAATATCAGGCAGGAGGGCAAAGGGACACACGCTCTGGAAGCTGTGGCTGGGTTGATGAGGACACAGAGTTTGACTGTGCTCTGCTAAGCCCTGGACACAAGACCCATCCTCCTGCATGTGGGAATCTCTCTTGCCGCTGGCAAACACAGCCAGGAGCAAGGAGGTGGGGTCGGGGGCTCAGGTGAGATTCCCCCAAAACTGGAGGTGAATTTTTAGTGGCTGTGATTTGTTCTTTTTCCAGGAAATGAAGTTTATTTTTACAGAAATAAAACCATTGCATTGCCAAACTGTATACACAGAGGTGTCAGGAATTGATCTTGAATTTGTAGAGTGAGTTGAATACTCTAGAGATTTTTTAAGTTGTGCAAAAGGAGAACTTTACCATTTTGTTAAAGATAGAATCCCCTAAAATTCTTTCTCCAAGGAAAGAGAGAGGTGCTGAATACTGTGAAGAAAAAATGGGTTAAATGAATTTGAATTCCATTCTCGTCCTTACTAAGTGCATGTTATCCACAAGATGAAAGGCACTCCTCACGCTGAAATTCTTTTCCTCTCATCTCTGTGTCCCATCCCTACTCTTGTGCTGGTCCCCAGCCACTGTGGTACCCAGTAAGATCTGTAGGAGATGTTTGTGCAAAGGTTTTGCTATTGATATTGACTAATACTCCTCTCTCAGAATCCACACATTAGTTCTTTCCAGGGATATAGCTTTTTTCATTTGACTATTCCAAAGCAGATTATAAACATAGTTTGGATCCTATTTGTACTATTTCATTGTTCTTCATGTTCTTCATGTTTGAATATATATATATATATATATATATATATATATTCAATTAAGCTGGATATTTCTCCTTATCCTTCTCTCATTTAGTGGAGAAAATCAAGTACGACACTCTTTTAACATGCTTGACATAGAACTCTTGACTTCTTTTTTGGCCTGCAAACAGTAATACCAAGAGAGTCTTCTCTGAGACAATGGACTTGGTCTTTGCCACCACTAACAGCCAGCATTTTAGCAATGAATGGGTCTGAGTAATGGCGAGAGCTTGGTTCATACCTCCGAAACTTGCTATGATGGCCCAGCCTCCCGTTTCCTTTAGATCTGCTCTTGACTCTTCCTGGAGAAAAATGGAGAGTTCAAGGTTATCATGAGAATCTTCAACCCACTGGATATCTCCTGGATCTAGGAATATGTCAGTTGTCTGTTTCTTCTTGCCATGGAATGTTTAAAATGGGGAATTCTATATGTAAAATTCTACTTTGTAATTATCCATAAATTATTTTCTTCTGCTCTGGTTATTTTAAGCAAATGGTTTTCCTTAAAGTAGTCTTTAAACCATACATCAAGAGATTGCCAAGTAAAAAAACACAAATTACTTTTCAATAACATTTTCCAATAACATTGGGATATTCATTCATTCATTCATTCACATTTTATTTATTTGACAAATATTTATTGCATATCATGGTACGAGTTGGGGAAACAAAACAAAAAGATCAAAATGGATATTGCTCTAGCCTTCATGGAACTTAAAGTACATAGGATGGTTTATTTTAATGGAATTATATATGTATTTAGTGATTTTAAAATTAGAGGCAGTGTAATATAGTGGAAAGAGGGAAACAAATTAACATTCGATGAGTACCTCCTATTAAAGGCATGTGTCATCTCATTTCTCACCTCTCACTGTAGTATACCATCTTATGTCATGAATGCATAGACACAAATATTTACCACTTTTTAAAAAAGATTTTATTTATTTGAGAGAGAGAGTGGAAGAGACAGAGCATGAGCAGCGGGGAGGAGGCAGAGGGAGAGGGAGGGGAAGAAGCAGACTCCCCACTTAACAGGGAGCCCAATGTGGGGCTCAATCCTAGGACCCTGAGATCATGACCTAAGCTACCCAGGCGCCCCATGTTTAGCACTTTTAAACAATTAGTTATAAAGTTTATCTGGTAGGAAAATGTCAGTATATCTCCTAATTATAAACTCTATTCATAGGCTTATTCAACAACAAACATTTATTGAAAGACTATTTACTGACAGATGTGATATAGTGTGTAGTCTAGTAAATAGGATGGGCAATATTCCTGCCCTCATGGAGATTATCTTTGAGTAGTTGTAACAGTTTTATTTTATTTTATTTTTTTAAGATTTTATTTATTTGTCAAAGAGAGAGAGAGAGCACAAGCAGGGGGAGCTGAAGGCAGAGGGAGAAGCAGGCTCCCGCTGAGTAAGGAGCCCAGTGTGAGATTCGATCCTAGGACTCTGGGATCATGACCTGAACCGAAGGCAGACGCTCAACCGACTGAGCCACCCAGGTGCCCCAGTTGTAACAATTTTAAATTAGAACTATGAATTTACTGTTTTAGCATTAATTAGAACTAATCTTCTTGGCAAAGAAGAGAACTTCTTTCTTCTGTGGTTACAGGATTCTCAAATCTGTATTTCCTAAATGAATGAGGCCTCTCTGCAGTTATGGGGAAGGTCAGTGTGCAGAGGAAGAGGGACAGTCATGTCCACCTGTGCCCAGGTCTCCAAGAGAGCTGCAGAATGTGGGTCTTATGCCCAAGATAGAATCTGTTTTCCACCCCATTTCATAGTAAATGTAGTATTAAAACCAAGACAGGATTTATATAGATAAATAGATATTTGCCCACTCCTTTCTCTAAGTGTTAGAAAATTATGTTTGTTAAAATACTTTGATTAGAAAATAATAATTGTGGTTTTTTTTTTTTTGGACTCCTAGAGATTTTTTTTTTATTCTTATGTTAATCCCCATACATTACATCATTAGTTTTAGATGAAGTGTTCCATGATTCATTGTTTGTGCATAACACCCAGTGCTCCATGCAGAATGTGCCCTCCTCAATACCCACCACCAGGCCAACCCATCCTCCCCCCCCCCCCAGAACCCTCAGTTTGTTTTTCAGAGTCCATCGTCTCTCATGGTTCGTCTACCCCTCCAATTTCCCCTGCTTCATTCTTCCCCTCCTGCTACCTTCTTCTTCTTTTTTTTTCTTAACATATATTGTATTATTTGTTTCAGAGGTACAGATCTGAGATTCAACAGTCTTGCACAATTCACAGCGCTTACCAGAGCACATACCCTCCCCAGTGTCTATCACCCAGTCACCCCATCCCTCCCACCCCACCCCCCACTCCAACAACACTCAGTTTGTTTCCTGTGGGTTTTTTTTTTAAGGATTTTATTTATTTGTCAGAGAGAGAGAGAGAGAGAGAGCACAAGCAGGGGGAACAGCAGGCAAAGGGAGAAGCAGGCTCCAAACTGAGCAAGGACCCTGAAGTGGGACTCGATCCCAGGACCCTAGGATCATGACCTGAACTGAAGGCAGATATTTAACCTACTGAGCCACCCAGGTGTTCTGAAAATAATAATTGTTACTTTGACATTCAAAATAATATTTGGTGGGCTATCAGATATCTACTCATTTGCTTCTATTGAGTCTCTCTCTCCCCTATCTACAAATTCTGGAAGTTGATCACCAAGCATATTCAAAAACTTTTTCCTGGGATTGGAAAAACCATGAAGTATCATATATTATACATTGCTTAGCTACGGGTGGTGGAGAAAAGTTCTCACAAGGATGTGGGCATAAGCCATCTCTTCAAAATTCAGCTAAAATGACGATGGACAATTTTCTGTAGGCAAAGCATGACAGAACCACAGCTTTTATGGCATTCTGAAATCCTATGGACTAAGACTTCAGAAAACGTTGCCCCTATTTCATCCCAAAACTTGCGCCTGCAAACCCAATACAGCTAAATATAAATGTATATGTAGATGGAACTTTTTTACCTCTTTAACATAAAATGCTTTTCATTTGATTTCTCTTCATTGCTGCCAAGATGAGTAGATAGATACACTGCAGCTTGTGGTTTCTGGATTTTGTTGCAAATGTTGGAGCAAGGGGCTGATTGATTGGTATAAACATGTAGCAATGGCAACAGCTGCTTTAAAAAAAAAGCATAAAAAGGAATGAAATGATTAAAAATAAACAGTAGTTACATTTATGACATATACACTGCCTGGATATTTTTAATTTTCCTTGCCTTGGCTAAAAATGAAACACTCGTACAGATAGCAGTAAAATAACTACATTCCAAATTCAAGTGTTTGTGCCTCAGAAGTATTGAGCCTCTTTAGACCTTTTTAAAATTTTTATTTCAACG